GTGCATAATTTTCAGGCTCAATTGACCCAGTCACTTTGATCTGGGTATCACTGGAAAGATCTTTTCCTCCTGCAGAACAAATTTGGTGATCACGTCAGAAGTGGAACAAAGGCCAAATGTTTGTTATTGCTGGTTATGGCTGGCACAGGCATCAATGGTTAAATGATGTAGTGGAGTGAAGCAATGTACATAGAATGATGCCAACCGTAACAAATCAAATACTGAAGCAATGTATAGAGACTGAAGCATTGTAGACAAGGGTTGTTGAGACATGACTGAGAAATGGTGAAACTGTTTAATTTGAAATTTTGTCGCATGAGGGATTTCATATGCAGTGAGTTGACTTAAGAGTTTGATCTACACACTTTGACAACTTGACTAAGAATGGAGGTGTTTTTGAACACATTAGCAGTAATGCAAAGGGTAGTAGCTTTCTTTGTTTCCTTTGCTGTATGTGGGTACACATATCCACAAAAGTGTCCATTGATTAATACAAAGAATTGTTCAAGACTAGAAACGAAATACAAAAACCACAAAATATTTGGCAGTAACAAGTACAAATTTCAGCTTGGCAGTCTAATGGCGAATTTAGCTTCTGAAGGACAACATTTATTTAACAATACATATAGGAATGGGGGTTTTCATGAAGGAACATTGAAATTGCTTTCAATACTTTGGAGACCTGCCAATGAATGATGGGATTTCACTTCAGACTTTGCAAGATGCTGCCTAGGAATTTAAAAATGTAAGCTTAAGTGAATATCTGATATTTTTTTATTTGGCTGAGGGAATCTATGTGAGATTGTGACATGGAAATTAAATAAAATGGATATCATTTCTTGACTGTGCTACAGCCATCTGAGAACATGAAATTTCCCTGTCACTTGGGTCACTGAAACTATGCAAGGTGAAGACCTGCAACTTAAGTCGAACCTCTGGTTGTGACCACCTCTCATAAGTGACCACCTCCCCTCAGCGACCAGTTTTCCAAAATACTAAAAGTTTCCAAGTCAAATCACTATATTTGCAACCTCTTGTAAGCGACAACCTCTCATAAGCGACCGCGACCACTCTTAGAACTAAAAGTTTGAAATTTTCTTTTGTTTTTAACCTCCTGTAAGCAACCACTTGACAGATAATAGAGTGTGCATTGGATAATAAGTTGTTGTAACCATACTGCATTCCCGAGTAGTACAAGAGACAGAAATTTTTCAATGGAAAGTACAGGATTTTTTTTCAAAATTGACTTTTCACATGAATAAAAAGTCTCTGCAGTTACCATATGCTAATGAGACAAAATTTTGACCCATTGGTCTAAAATTGGTTGGTCTAAGCTCTTGTAACCGACCACCTCCCACCTACATTGTAGGCTTGGAATTTTGCATGTTCGCTTATGAGAGGTTTGACCGTAGTAAGGCTGTTACATCAAAACAATGTAGGTTGACATATTTTTCAAACCAAATAGAAAAAAAAAAGATCAGACTATACTAGGAATCGGACAATCCTGTTTTTTTTTTTTAAAGATAAAACTCATTATAGTTCAAAAGGCTGCTTTAATAGCCGCTGTTATCACTTACCTACCAATCATAGTTTCTATGTTGATATTATCATGTCCTGTCTTGAAAATCTAGGTTCCTTTTAGTTTGATGTGTTTCATTCTGTATGAACAAACGATGTACATGTATGAGATCCATCTTAAACTACGGTACATTATGTACATTCATATTTCTACATTTTAATTATTTCAAGTCTAAGTGACTATACAAACTTTCACATCATACTGTACAATCACTCAGCTTTGTACTCTCCACCCTAAATGCGCATTGGCCATTGACTGATCAGAATTTTGTAAATTTTACAGTAATTAGACCCAATGGATTATTCAGGGAGTAATCAGGTGAATAATTTCAGAACTTCTTTTGATCAAAAAAGCCATTAGTGTCTCCCATAAGTTGTAAAAACTGTAGGGAACAAGCTCTTAGCCAGGATTAGAAAAGTGGCCATCCACCCATTGATATGGGGCCAAAAATCAACAGGATCTGCTATATATTAATTTACCCACAAAGTAACAAGTTTGTTACCGGTGTAAAGATCAAGGCTACAAGGTAAATTAACACTTAATGACAACCCTGGCCAATATTCAGCCATCTTGAGTGGACAAGCTAATAGTTAGTTAATATAGGAATTATTATATGAGATATAGAACAACTTTTTCTTGTAGGACACAGCATGTAACCCTGAGTGGCAAGATAGCATAAGTTTGCCCGTTGGGTTAGTCAATCACAGTACAGGATTTGGTTAATCTTGCCTGCTCAAGGAGCTGGCCATTCAATAAAGTGGATCCTTGATTTAAGTGCTAAGAGAATGGGGTAAAACCTCAATATAATGAATTTGCAGAAAAACAACCAATTGAAAATGTTTAGTATATCGAGGTATTGTTCTCTTTGTTTTTTTCCATGGTGTTATGTTGCACTACCCAGCATTTCTGGATCTGAACAATTAAGTACTGTAAATAACATTAGTTTTGTGCTTTAATATCTACATATGAAGTTACAGTACACTGTACAGATCTAGATATAGCTATAGCACCGGAAAACTAAACAGGTCATCAAAATTTTAACAATTGCAACTGACTTGTCACATGTCATAATGAACAGCTTAATGAATAACATAACAACTGAAAACTTAAACAACAGAAACTTCTTTACGTTACGACTATAGTAATATTGTTAATCAAGATGCTCAATCAAAAGATTCCTCCAAAGAAGACTGCCTCATATTTTGTCATTCATAAAAATGTGTCCTTCGTTGAAGAGGAGCACAGAAATTCCCTTTTTTGCGCACACCTTGTCAAATGTCATAATGAACAAGAACAGTGTAACACAACTTAATTAGCAACAGAAAACTACTGTACTGTACTACTAAAACTGCACAATTAAAAATTCTTCCAATGAGGATTGCTTCTGTCTTTCTGTCATGTGTTGACATTTCTTTGTTATATCGGGGTATATTATACATTTTGGCTTCTGTATTGTGTTCATTATAACAAAGATTTCATTTTATCAAGGTTCGTCATATCAATATTCTGTTCCATACATTTTACTGTAACTTTGGCTGAACTGAAGAACATTGTTTGTTATACCGAGGACTTTGTTATATAGAGGTTCACTAAATCAAAGTTCTACTGTAATGTCATCAATAGAATGTGGGGCTAGAACTGGACCTGCAATCAGGAATTTGTAATAATTAATTTTGATTAGAAGGATAACCAGCAATTCACAGGGAGTTTCAGGCAAATTCAATGGCTGTGAGAATGATTGTGCCTACCTGGTTTGACCATGCTGAAGGAAGTTTTTCTAATGAAGAAGTTCAGTTCAAAATGTTTTGCCCTTCAGTAGAAACCTGTTGCCCCTGGGGGGACTTCCTTATAAAAAATCTCGTCATACCTATTAGGGGTTAAAAATGTGGTTTTGGTGCCTCTTTGGGTGCTCAGCCTCAAAAGGTCCACAGCGGGAGCTTTTGCAGTACTTTTTGGGCTACTAAGTCCAAAAGCATATGTCAGAAGATATTTGACAATCAACTGATGTTTAATTTTGTTTCATATATAATCATCTTCATGCCTGTTAAATATTATGAGTGTCAGTTAATACATTGTTTTAGAATTGGTACCTCTCAATCCGCAAAACAGGATATTGGTACCTTTAAGGAGTTATTAATTTTCAAACTTTCCGACAAGCAACCCCGACCTTTTCTCTCCCCCACCCCCCACCCCCACCTCCTCGGGACTGTTGCCCCCTGCTGAAAACGTTAATGAAAGCCCTACAATTCAGCTTCTAACTGAGTTCAAAAATATGCACAGCTATTTGCTCTTGGACACTATTTGTTCTGAAGACAAACCTAATAGCTTAGACTATATATTGACTGTGGTATTGAAGCCCTGATCAAGGGTTATGTTATTGGCATGTGCTCCTTCCACTAGCATTAACTACTGCAGGTAACTTTTCAATCTGAAGGAATAAATCTTACTTATGATAAAATACGAACAAGCCACAGAAGAGCAAATAAAAACAGAAAAACGCCAAAATGTCTTACCTCGCAACGAGTAACATCGGCCCGCCATATTTTCGAAGACATCTTGCTTCTAGGAATGCTTCTAGGCACTTGCTCTTAGATTGTGCTCTTACTGCATGATGGGATACTCAACCGGAAATGACATCACTTCATTGCTAC